TCAAGTTCGTCTCTGCTTTTTGCAAAGTGAGATTACTGAACCTGGATATATTGGATTTTCTCCCAGGTTCAAGTTCTCCCTGGCTTTTAACTTTTGACTGCTTCATACGAAAATGATAAATATACGGATGCTACATTGTCGAGCTAACGTGAATTATTTCACTGGTTTTCATAACAGCTGCCTGGGCTGCTTTTCATCTCTTCCTTGATGCACTAATCTCAGAGGGGATGGTTAGCAATAAAAACCTTTAAAAGCAGACAAATTCAATATTTAGGATCTAACTACTGGGAATACATATGGTAAGCATTAAATAAATGTAAACTATTATTACATGGCAGATATCACGCGAAGAGTTTACATGGATAATGTCATCTGACCCTCATATCTCTGTGATGTGGTTACCATCACTGGCCTTATTTTGCAGGTGCGCGGCTGAGACTCGGGACGTTAATTAACTTGCCTATGTTCACACAGGTAAGTGGAGTCCAGGTAGGCTGACTCCATGCTTTTGCCACGAGTAACAAGAAGTGACTCAAAAGACATAGTATATGACATTACTGGTAGGTACGCCTAGTTCTTCCAAACTCCTGGTGGCCCTTCCTCTCCGCTAAAGTTCATGTTTGTCTTGACTGGGACTTCGGGACACTTTGATTTCACACTTTGTCATCCTCCTGAAGAAAGGGGTTGTTGTCTGCGGTACTTGTATATTTCAACACCATGTATTTCTACCGAAGAATTGATTGTCTTGACAATTTAGCTATGGTAGAAAAGGAATAAGTACAGCCGAATGTGCTATATTTTAAATGCCAGCACGGAACTAGTCCTAGACTTTATTTCACATAATTTATTCTTGTCAGGAAAACACATTTTTGGAAAAGAAAATATCACAGTGCATTTGTAGAACTGGCTAATTTTTCTCACAATGCAGTCGTGTTATTTTGTTTGTTTCCCATAATTATTTCCACAGGTACGAGAAGCTGGCGGGAAGGGCTCTCTCCTCACCTACATACACTAAACTCGTAAGGAAACCGAGACTCAGGCTGTTAGGGATGGATCTGGAATTAGAGCTCACATTTTGAAGAACACACTTTAATTATAATATTCTGCCGTTCAAGCGTACTCTTATTTAGGGTTTAGTTTCAGGAGACCAGAATGACAGACTAACTAGCATTTTAAATATTCAACATGTGCACTTCAATGCTTTTGAAACTACAAAACCAGTGAAAAGTCGTGAAGTTCCACAGAAGATTGAGGGAGTAACGTCAGTATCAGGCTAGAGGAGAGCACCAAATGTGAACACACAGAATTTCCCAGTTAAGCTTCCATGAGCCTGACGTGTTTACCGGAACAGAGAGGTCTCTGGATAAGCAAAACTCATCATCTTTATGAATGTGACAGAAATGAAGTAGCGTGTATATGCTCCTGTACTTTGATAAGGTTACGTTCCAGATAAGCCCATCCTAAAATGACAATGACGTAAGTCGAAAAAGCATTTAATACGCCTAACCTACCAAACCTCATCGCTTAGCCTAGCCCGACTTCCATGTGCTCAGACAGAACACAACATCTGGAAAAGGCTGGCAACAGAGAACACTGCAGAGCGTCAGGACAGCTGTTTGCCCTTGCGATCACGCTCTGCCAGGGAGCCGCTGCCGTCCAGCATCAAGCCTCCTACGACGTATCGCTTAGCCGGGAAATAGCAGAATTCAATATCTGAAGTATGGTTTCTACTGCATGTATCGCTCTTGCATCATCATGAAGCCAAAAAGTCACAAGGCAAACTTCTGTAAGTTGGGGACCTCTGTACTTTTTTAAAGTGGGGAGTAAGGAGTAAATTACCATTTAGTAACTCCATCCCCACCTCTCTCTCATTTCTCAAATGGTTGGTTAACATTTCGGGGAAAAAAAAAAACAAAAAACAAAAAACCTGAAATTTCTTTTTTTCTGCGATTTGATTATATCATGACCTTCGGGTTTGCTCTTCTATGTTTGAAGGAAGGCTTTCAAACTACCACAAACTACCACTCTATTCCCTTTCGGGGAATACAAAAAAGCAATTCATGCAATTAAATTCTATTTTCTACATTTCACTAACCTTCCACCCCTAGCAGGTAGAAAATCACCTACTCTCGCTTTGAACAATGGAGAACGTGAGGGATTTGCCCCCGTGTAGATTTCTTCTTCTCCATCCCCATCTCCACCTGCTGCTGCTCCATTAATGCTAAATTCTTCTCAAAGACCATTTGCCTTTTCCAATCAGGCCGTTAACTTACAGTACCTGCCCTGGAGTCAAAGGCACATCCAGTGTTCTCTTTTAGTGCCTCTGACTAGAGAAACCCATTTCCTTAGAATTCAAGCTTGCAAACGGAACATCGAAATTTGTCAATTAATTGTTATAACTAATGGCAAAAATAGAAGAAAATGTCCAGGCTCCTCTAAGATTTGCCCAGCCCCTTTCTCAACTACCTATCACCAACCTCCACCACAGAAGTTAGTAAACTACAGCGCGCTTAGTTATCCGTACACTGAATTGCTTTAAATTTTTGGTTTCAACGGTTTCCGTTTTCTCCTCTAAAATACAAAATTTCCCTTTAAAAAGTTTATGAGAATTGAGATAAATAAGACGAGAGTCATCTAGACTTACCAAAATAGTAATATGTTAGCATTCTTCATTTCATTTCAAGGCCAAAATGGGCAATATTTGTGGACTTGTCAGTGTTTACACAGAATCTGTTTGAAGTTCGCTGGTTATAGCTTTTAGTTAGTACCTTCTATTGTGAATTAACAGAGCTCTCAAATACACCGCCCCTGCCTATCTCTTTTCGAATACAATGATTGTGGTAAGATTCTGCCTCAGTCAATTGAGGGACAAGAATATAGTATGTAACAACCCAACCACTCAGTGGCACATCGGGATTTATCAAGAACATTCTATGGGCAAGTTCTGCTAAAGGCCTTAAAAATCTGACGTAATTTCATCGTTCTACAGCCATTCAAGATAAATTATCTTTTCCACAGGGATTTTATGAATAAAACTGATCCTTAAAGTGGTTTAATATTTAGGCCCAAATCACATAACTAAGAAATCATGACCGTGTTTCAATTCCAAGTTAACTGGCTCCAGAGCCTGAGCTATAACCACTATCCTATTTTTATGTGGGATTCCAAACTCTTTTCTGCAAACTAACTACTCATCTCTCTGCTGTCAAATGTGCATCGTTCTCTTCATTGTTTTATTAAAATACTTTAGCTGTACCTAACTAAACATTATTTCACGAGTATGCAACACAGTTATTTCCGTGTAGCTTTCAATTTCTGAGTAATTCAAACTTAATTAAATGTTGATTCTTGAAACAGTGATTCGATTAGCATCTAGAATTATCATTTCCCGCAATATTCAAGGGTTTGGAATCTAGACTCTTAGAGCAAGTTAGTCGTACTTGGCTTTATATCACTTATGTAATGTTGTACGTGTTCCTCTTTTTTATTCCCTTTTAAAATTTTTTCTAATATCTGTACCCATTGATAAAAATGAACAACTTCCTGTTTTGGAGACCATAAAGAAATCTCTATTTGAGAACTGCTACTAATAAACGAACACAGAAAGAAGACTCTATTCGTGACCATAAATGGGCACCTGAATCCACAGCCCTGAGCATGACGGCCGCCAACACTGTGAAATGTATGAACACAGCAGACACACCCAACACATAAACTTTACTCCTGAGGATAAATGAGTTGTAATTTAACATGTTATCACTGAGGAAGGATAATTTCTAATGTTAGAAATCCATAAAATAATTGGGGTTTCATCTGCAAATACCTCTTTCACGGAAGATCCAGTTTTTTATTTTACTAACAAGGTAGTTTTTGTTTGCTTATTTTAAAAGATTAGCCGTCATGGCTGTTGATGGAAAACTGGAAAACCAATGAAAAACTGGCATGTAACGGAAGATCAAGGATCGCTCCAAATCTTTAATATTTTCCAACACAAATGCGACAAGGAACTGTAAGCGAAAAGAACATGAAGTGGGGAAGCAGTCCCACCACGCAAAAAGTCTGAAGAAGCTTTGTATCCAATCACTTTTGTGGGTTCCCCCCCACCGACCCGATGTTTATACCTAACATACTCACTTATGCCCACAGCTGTAATGAGCTTGATGGCAAGTTCAGGAATTTCACACTGAATGAAAAACGGTTCCAGTATGTAGCGTCCAAATGCCAGAGATATCACAGCAGTGGCTGCAGGGCTAGAAAACATATATATTTAGGTTACCAAATATACACACACAAAAAATTGCATCTTCTCTAAATTTGTTCTACCTTGAGGTATTTTAATTCAGCACACATGTGACACGTTAAATTTGAAAGTCTATGATTTTCAGAGCTCCATATTGGATTGGGTGGTCATCGACATTCCAAATGAAATGTTGCCTGTAACTTAGGTGGCTGGTTTTAAAACTTCACATTTTCTTGGGAACAAGGCTGAGTGCTAGTCACAGGAAGCAGTCTGCTTTCTCAATAAGTCATCAATTAAGATCCAGCCATAGTAAGAACATGTTAATGGTGCAAATCTAATGGGCCGGGGTATGGTCAGGAAAATGAACAGAAAATGCAACAAAAAAATAACTGTTCTTTGCAAATATATGCATATGTCCTTGACACTCTATTCTTATTTTTCCCATACAGACAAAACCTTGAAGAGCCAAGTGATTATTCTTAATTCCACAGAAATATTTAGATGCAAAGTATAAGGTGAGAAATAAAATTACTCTTGTAATTTTACGCAAGTGAGAAAATATGGGTGAGATAAGAAAATGAAATAAGTGCAGGTATATAGATAGCAAAATAGGTAACAAATCATTCCACTTTAATTTCTTCAGATAGTTCTATGAGAAAAGTACACGCCATTTCAGTTTAAGTGTATGTATGTGCGTGTGTGCGCACACGAACACACACATATGTGATTGCATATTCTTTGGATACAGACAGGTCCCTGGGATTATCTACTCTCACTCAAACTTCCCTTCCAGCTTCTTTTCCTTCCGACGATGACCGAACATCCGTACCCCATCCCTAGACCCGCCAGAAAACACCCGCCATTATGTGTTCCAACCTTGGCCTGCTGGTACCAGACAGCGCTATGAATTTCCTGATAGTCTTCTTTTCCCAGAGACCACCTCCTCCCTCTTCCCTTCCTCCCCAAAACAGCGTTATTTTTCCTGTTCCCTATCATTTATAAATCTTTTGATGTATAAATTAAAATCTCATCGTGTCGTTTGAGTGCTTTCAAAATAGGCTCAGGATATGCAAAAATCCTTCCATTCCAGGCTCCACCTGGTCTAAGCTTTCTCTGACTCTTCAGTTTGCTTCTTCCCACTAGAAGGTTCTGAATGCCCTTTGCCTGGAGCCCCTGAGACTCAGACAGTGTTTTACACCTCAGATCTTCGCTCTCCCTTCCTTTGCCCGAGGAAGCATCTCCGACACTCTGACTAGGGGAGATCTCCCAGAGTCTCCTCTCTCCCTGAACCTCCCCGTGTCCCTTTCACAAAGCCTATCACAGCCCCAACTTCATACTCACTATTGTGATTTCTTGATTGGTAACTATTTCCCTCACTTGATCCCGAGCTCCATGGTACAACGCTCTGCCCATCTTAATGACTATTTTATCCCCAGTGTTCAGTAGAATGTGTATCAGACAGTAGAAACCCAATAAATATTGAGTACGTGGTGAATGGGTGAATTCAATCAAATGACCCTGCCATGTACTGCTGTGTGATATTTCTTTCCTTGAAATCTATGTTTTATAGATTATTTCTGGCAAGAGTGACTTAATGTGAAGTATAGTTTTAATAGTAAGCATTTAGGTACCAGGTGTGTTGGCAACAGAAGAGAAATGTTATAGCACCTAGGTACTTGTCACCCCTCACGACATTTGTTACTCTGTCTGTTTGAAAGACCAGCTGAGCAATGTGAGTCCATTCTATAAAGGAATACATAAACCCAGTAAAAAAGCTTCTAGAATACATGTGGGTAATTTCCTCTGTCCACACACACACATGCACGTGTGCACACACCGTGAAGTAGCTCTCATGCAATTAAATTAACATTTGATTATGAGCTATTCGAGAACAGAATCGTGGTTCATTCCACTTTAGATCTCTTTAACCGACCATCCACTGTTCTGTAGCAGTTTGAGGAATGGATAACTTAATGGATGAGCCCTGTATCTATGCTACTGCAAATGGAATCACCATGCTTATCAGAATGCAAAGTAATTAGCCAAAACCATCCATCCAATACAAGGCTGAAAAGGGACTCAGGCCCCAAAGCCCACCATGCTGACGGCCCAGTCTTCTAACTAAGTAGCATGCTCACTTGAATGCTGAGAAGGGTGCAGTCAAAATATTACAACCTTAAATGTTCAGTCACTGATGCAAAATAATTTAGTATCTGCGGTACTCGGGGCATTGAAGTAAGTAGTATGAGAGTGACAGAAAGTATGAGACCTGGTCTCATGTGCCTAAAATGTTTGCTGTTTTATCAGGGAAACAGAACACAGACACCCAAAATATTAAGAATACGAGACATCATGGTCAATGTCAAATGAGCAGCAGAGACTGCATTTTTTCAGAATTAAAGAGGAAAGACATGCCATAAACCAGAGTGAACAGAAAGTCAACTGTGGAACAGAGGGTTTAAGTTGACCTTTGAAGAGCAAGATTCAGATCATCAGAAAAGATGGAAGGCACATCCCAGGAAACTCCCAGATTTTACCAAAGGAACAAAGTACTTCTTTACCATTATTTCATTTAACGAGTTTGAAAGAATGCAGAATTGTTTACTCCGAGAAAATACTTAACAAAGAAGTAAATATGACTCTGAAGTTCTTTGTTAAAAAAATAAAAAAGAAACTCCTAAGACTATAAAAATCACGATTAGTGTCAAGTCCATGTTTATTAGGTCTGCCTTTGCCACTTAGCCACGAATGACAGGATGGAAGCTCACATGAGCTCATAGCTGTTATTTCTGATAAGTTTACAGGGAGAGCAAGTTTTCCTGGTTATTTGTTAAACTCTGTAATCAGTCTGTGCGAGTCACGTTTTATGAAAGCAATTAACCTTAAGGAACTGTGATACTCCAAACTTCTCAAATGACTCCGTAAGTTTCCCACGAAGTCGAAGGAAACTTGCTATTCAGAGTGACTTAGCACGATCCGGTTTGATTCTAAACCAAGACAATCAGGAAGAGGAATGCCTTGTTACAATGAAATCAAAAAAGCTTTGCGCAATTGTAGTTCACTAATTTGTTTAACATGAGGAAGTGAGTCATTCATGTTAAGAAAGGGCCTCATTTTTTTGTAAAGTATAAAACGTGGTGACACACTAAGTCGTGAGGCACAGAAGGCTTCTAGTCACAAAATCTGAGGGAAGTTAAACATCTCCACAGTGTCATCAACAAGAAGAAAACTCCCATTCCCAGCAGAACACTTAATTTTGTCTGATCGGTCCAAAGATATGATTGATCGAGGTGGATCTCCATGCTTCAAATCCTTTCAGGTTAACATCTTTGCTAGAAATGGCTTAGAGAATAATTGAACACTACAGAAAAGCAGGTACTAAAAAGTTTGGCATGGCTGGCAAACTACTGCCTGTGGCAAAACTACATTAAAAACATTAATTGAGAAAGGTATTTCATCACAGACTTTATGTCCTGAAGTAGACATGTTCACAATATAGTCATATGACATGCATATTTTTACTAATTTATAATAATCACAGTGATTCGAAGAAGGGTTTAATATATACATTATTTTTACTTAATTTTTTTCTATTTACATTCTTACCGTATTATGAGCAGTTCCACCCAGACTCGTACAAAAGCTGGTAATGGGCCAAAGACTTCCAGAATATAGATGTAATGACCACCAGATTTTTTTATACTTGTTCCCAATTCAGCATAGGACAAGGCTCCTGTAAAATATTAAAAAAAAAAAAAAAAAAAAAAGGTATACAGTTAAAATAGTACCGAGTCATCCAGCAGCAGAATTGACACAGCAATGTTTATATTGCATGGGAAGTGATTACGCCCTTTGGTCTAAATGAGATCCTTATTTCAAAACAAATAAAGGTCATCTAACTGCTAAGAGCAATCAAATTCCTCTTGTAACTTCCTTAAATTTGAGATCTAGTTTGTTCTATTCAAACAATGTAAGTTTACTTGAAATGGTAAAGACAAACTTCTAAAACAATGTCACATTAAGAACACTAATCTCAAACCTGGGAACGAGAGAAAAAGAGAAGACCAATGCCAATAATACTAATGTATTTTTATTTTTTTTAAATTTTTAGGCGAGGCAACCCTTGGTTGACTTCACAGATTGCAAGGACCTTGTCAGCTTACAATCTCTTATTTTTTTATCTTTTACCCTTACAGCACCTGGTCTTCCTAGGTGGTCTCCCATCCAAGTACTAACCAGGCCCGACCCTGCTTAGCTTCCGAGATCAGACAGGATCGGGCTTGTTCAGGTTGGCATGGCCGTAGACTACTGACCTATTTTTAGAACATAACTTCACACCAAGACAAAGAATTATCCCAAACGGATCTCAATTCTCATTATATTGAGAATCCTTTTAATAAATGTTTCTGTGGCACATCAAAATAAAAAAAAAAAATTATCTGTACCTCAGAAAAGTATGGATGGGCTCCAGGTCTTTCAAGGCTTCATTTATTTTGTAGGATATGTTTTTGTCAACAAAATAAATTTTAATTCGAAGATTCTATGTCTATAAAAGGTTTTCTTGGATGTTTTTAAAGTGTATACTTCTGGGTAGTTGAAATAACATACTTTTAAAAAGAGATGTTTTTTATAAGTTATACTTATTACATCAGGTAAAATTAATTATAAACCAAATTTTAACATTTAACAATATAATGGACTTGAGCAAGTCATGTAACCTCAGTTTCATCTTCTATCTATAAATATGATAATAGGTGCCAAGGTAGGACTGGGCCTAACACATGGAAAGCACCTCATGAAATATAGTTACACCATTAATTTGAGCAATTATTTATCAAGAAAATAAAAAATGTATCTTGATGTTATGTGAAAGTTCTATCACTGTTAAGTACTCAAATGTAACACACACTTTTAGTCTCTGAAGAGCTCTTAAGAAATTATTGTTAGTAAAGCTTCAGACAGAACTGTCCAACATGAATATAATTTGCATATTCATTGAAATCTTAGTATCACTTATCTTGTTCCTGAATCTAGCACTGTATCAGTCAGCCAGGAAGATTTTTTATTTAAAAATGAAAGAAAAAACACAGACTCTGAGGCCATACCCCAGACTCGCTCTATAACCAAGAGAGTCCATACTCTCCAATAGAGAGATCCAAGATAATCTGTTCTTTTATAACTCGCACAGATAATTCTAAAGTAACTGGTCTGGAGATGGATATTTGGGGTCACTGGTACAGTTTGCATATTTATAACTAATGGTAACCAGTTGTAATTCACTCTCTGTTGGAAACCAGTCAACCATGTTGGCTGCTGTACAGAAAAGTATCTAATATAAAGTGTTATTGAAAAGAGTCTGAAGTATCTCAGAATACATTACCAAGGAATCAATACCTATGCTAGTGTCTGCTCTGCAGAAACTCCAGATGGCTATCCTAGGTTTAAATTGAGATCTGGAGGAATGAGATTTTCATTTAAAATTCTCAAGCTCCATAACCATTTTCCTTAGATGAGAAAAAAGTTCAAAATAGGATGTAAAAATCCATGTACTGACCCTGGTTTTTTGTTTTGTTTTGTTTTGTTTTGTTTTTAATTGTAAACCAAACATATAGATTCTTTACTTTCAGTCTCAGAGTTTGTTTAGTTCTAGAGTTTTAAGAGAAAGAATTGTTTTTCCCCTTACATTTTGCTTTATTTCCTGTTAGGAAGCCACTCCTGTCAAACAGCTCTAGTCACTTAAGTGACAAATGCAAGGCAAACATAGACAAATAGATTAACACAAGGGCACGCTCCCTGCAAGCAGCACTCAAATACCAAATCAAGTGTAACTTTAGCTGGTCCCTTCAGCTTTTCATTACCCCTGAGCTTGAGATGATATACTTTTGCAGACGCAAATTTTCATAGTACAAGTCAGCATCACTTTAACCGATTCCATGCTCGAAGCAAACCATTTTATTACCTCTGAATAACCTCTTATTGTGTACAAAAATGGAACTGTACAGTGGGAGCTGCATGCACACAGTATGCAAAGTCCAGGAAACTGGTTACGGTTTTTCTTGTTACACACTGATTTACTCTGACTACTCCCAGCGTTGTAGAAGATTACGGGCTGACGGGGCACAAAGTCATTTATGACGACCAACAATTAGGTTCCTTTTGTCTACAAATGCGCGTGCCAGAGCATATGAATGAACTTTTTTAAAATCTAAAAATAATTCCTCCATAGGTCTTTCTATACTAAGGCTTTGTTTTAACAATTGCCATTTAAAATGCCTTCTTCCTAATGATGGAAATGTGAGTTCTCTAAATCAAAGCTCAAATCAATGTATTAAAACATCCCAAGGCCTGAAGAATGAATGGATTGATACCTGTAGGGCCAAGAGTTAGAACTTGGTCCTAGTTATGACAAGGAGTTAGTACCTTTAAAGAGCAGTGTCTTTTAGAATAAAACATACTCTTTGCCAGAAAAGAGCAAATGGATCTTAGACATTTAACCCATAGCATTAATAAAAAAATTTTTTGACCATTCACCAGTTTTTGTCACCTTTACAACTCATGTAGCTTTCTAGTAATCTGCTCACCTCATAAGGGGCCACTTATCACCTCTTACTAATAATTGTCAAATCAAGAGATCTAGATGTTGAAGAAGAATTAATAATCATATTTCTTCTACCAGTTCTGTTCAGATTAACTTAGTGAACAGGTGGGCAAATTATCTGCCTCTAGAGATCAAGTGAACCACAAATAAGGAAAACAGACCTGAGCAAGCACAACAGACTAATACACGACTCTAGTTTTACAATTTATACTGCAAAAGTTTATAGGTCTCAGGGAGAGAGGAAAGGTTGAAAAACTGCAAAATATGCTCAGACCCTTGCATTATACCCACTTGAGCGAGGGACTGAGTTAGTTACGTGCCATCGTGCTTCTTTCCACATCAAGGACTTTTAGAAAGAATACTAGGAACAGACAAGCGCACGAAGTTAAAAAATTAAAAAGGAAAAGACTGCCACCGTTTGTTGTGCCAATAAAAAAAAGTCAGCAAAACTTCTGCTGAACAGTCAGTTCTGTGTCTAAATAGGCCACGCCGGGTGTCGCTTCACAGGTGTTTCATTCAGCGTGCCAGCTGCCAAGATGCCCCAAACAGACGTAGCTAAGCACAACCGCCCGGCACAGAGAGCTTGTGTGTATTTCACTGGGTCATCAAAGTTAGCCTTTGCTCTTGTCGCCACAGGGAAAAGTCAGAAAATAGTCTGTCTTAGTCAGGAAAAGCGAGTACAGCCTGCAGGAAGCAATTTGAGAGAATTCAGGATGCTGCAAGAGAGGACACCGTGTTTGGGTAGTTGGCACGCCTAAACAAAAGTCGGACGACTTCACAGAGCCTTTGCCATTTCACTCGCTCTTTAAAAATTACCCTTTGCTTTCCCAGAAAGAGAACTGCCCGGCTCCACAGACACTGCCCCCGCCCCTGCCCGCTCCAAGAAGAAGCTGCACTCACCAAACAGTGACAGGACCCCACAGACTGTCCAGATAACCAGGGACATGCCCACGCTGCCCGTGTTCTGGAGCACGCCCTTAGGAGAGATGAAGATGCCTGCGCCAATGATGGTGCCAATGATGATGGAGATGCCCCTCAGCAAAGTGATTTTCTTCTTCAGCACCACTTTCTCCTGCCCAGGGGGCTCCTTGCCGCCCAGGGAGGGCAGCCTCCCATGAACACTGCCCTGCAGGTAACCTCCACTGGAGATGGTAGACACGACAGGCTTTCTGACCATTGCAGTGACACCCAGGGGCGAAAATAAAAACAGAGGCAAAAAAAAAAAAAAAATCTAAAACTTTCAACTTTGGTGCCTCTTGGTGTGACTGACCAATCTCTTCCTCTTTGCTTTCAGATTGTCTCTCTCAGTGCTATTGTGTTCACAGGTAAAAACTCAGAGGTCTATTTTCTCCTTCACAGTTATCTAATTACACCTCAGAAACACCTATGTGTTCAGGGGCTCCCGTTCCTCCGCTTCCTCCAACCACCACCTCGGTGCTGCGGCCGCCGCTGCTGCCCTATCATTACAGACCAGCTCAGCTTCCCCGTGGGCTGGTATTTAAGCTCCTGCCTGTCACACCAACTTACTCCAGCTAAATGATGATGCAAATTCTCCAGGTTTGCATCAGCCACATGAGGAGGCTCCAGCATTACTCAGCTTTTTTTTTTTAACAGTAGCAGCATGTTGCTCAACTGACCTAAGCTTTTCAGAGAACAAAGCACACACTTAAAAGGATCTTAACCAATCCAGAAGTAGTAAATTCCAAACAGACCTTCCCAGAGATTGAAAGCAGCTTCTAGGAGGGACAGGAGCTCTTTACAGAAAGCAAAAAGAAAACGAAAAATGAAACAGGAAATGATCACTGCATTGTAAGAAGTTTCTTTTTCTCTTCAACTTAGGTAGAATACATTTCACGCAAAAGGGTTCTGATAACAGGATTCAACCGAAAACCTCTCTGTTTATCACAACAAAATTTCGATTTTATAATCTGATTCCTGCTTATTTAGTTATGTTTGAGTCTGGAGTTTCCTAGCAACAGAGTCAAATCTAATATTTACAAAACTAGAATGGCTCTGCATAGCTGCTGTCACGCACATAGCAATTGTGAGCCTTACTCAACATTAAAAGATAAAATTATTTCTTACTGCCAATAGTAAACCAATATTTAAAATCACCATCTCGGTGTGACGAATTTTACGATCACAATGATTCTAGAAAATAGTCATTTTCTGAGCTTCATTTATCACTAGGTGATCTCCTAAACTAAGTAAAAGATACACATTCTTTATCTGCATGTTGTTCTACTGAATTACTAGAAAGACTAATTTCGAAATTAAACAATCATTACAATGACATAAAAACATGCATATAGCAAAAGCTTGATGAAGAATACACAGGATAATAGTTTGGAAGGTAATGGTATCATATATGATTTCTTTCTAAAGCATATGAACTATTGTTATAAATATAAATTTAAATTGAATTAGAAACATAAGCTAAGATCGAATTTTCTACTTTGAAAGAGTAAGAAAGGCAAAAACATTTTTGAACCCTACTAAGTTTCTTAATCATGTGTCCATAAAAAAATAAAAAAATAAATAATAAAAAAAAAGAAAAGAAAAGAAAAGAAATCTGAGATGTCATGTTTGGCTGTAGTTTCCGTGGTTTTGGATTCAGTGAAAATTGGACATTACCATTACCCTGAAGCTACATTTGCATAGGCCATTAAAAGGGCTTCTAAACGTCTGAGCTAACACAACAAACAGAAAACGTGTGTGCAAGAGGTAGGAGTGGGGAGGAGTTCTCGATGACACAAGACAGAAAGAGCCGCTAGGTTACGATAGCGGTGTGGAGCAGGTCAGAACCATTTTCTGTTATGTTAGCACCTGAGAAAATGACACATCAGTGCTCTAGCATCCAAATAATCGAGGCTACGTTGTTTCCTTTTTGTATTGTCTACCTAAACCCAGCATAATCTGCTTTGGGTGTACTCAGGCCAGGTTTTTCCACAGCCAAAGTAAATACTTCTACCTAGCCGTTACATCTTTTTTTTTTTTTAAGTGGGTGTGTGGGGTGGGGGGAGTTTTTCTCATTCCATTTTGTTGACGTTTCTGAAAAAGAAAACTAAAGGAAGGTTCTTCTTCTCTTTCTCCTCCCAGTCCTCCATATCCTCCCACTTACTTACACAGTTCTCCTGATGAAAGAACGTAAGAGAGAAGAGAGGCCTTTGTTTCCCAAAACGGGGAACATAGCAGCTCTGAAGAAACACGAGTTAAAAGTAGAACAGTCAGCGAGCGACCCAGGGAACGACCTTCCACCTCTAACCAGCACAGAGGCACACTTCAATTTTACATTTTGAGCTAAATGACCGAACTAATAAATTGCAACTAAATCCTCATTCAGACAGGAAGTTAGACAAATCCTAAAGGAAGAAAAAACTTTCTTTTAGCATGAAATAATATCTTCTTCCTTTGTACTATTTAAAGAAAAATTATGAAGAAAAATTGCTGAAGTTTAGACCATTGACCAAAAGGATTGTACTATCGTGTGAGTCACGTTCGAAAATTCTGCAAAGCTTCACAGTCAACATAGACACCTCTATACTTCTTCCAATCACCTAGAAATTTGCAGAAAACAGGTTACAAAGAACATGTTATTTCCAGTGTTAACAAACCCTTATAATCAACAGTCCTAAATAATAATAATAATTTGGATGATCTTCAAATACGTGTGTATCATAAAAATGATTTCTAAGCAAATGCATTTATATTCCTCCTCCTAATTTATGCTTTATTTTAAACACTCCTGTCAAATTAGGAGGCTATTCTACCGCTATTTACAAATATTTATTCAGTGCTTCCTGTACACAAGGAATAGTCCTGGGTTCCTAAAAGCATCTCATGGAAGAAACAGACATAATATACTACGGAAGCATCCTCTTTATGGCAAATGATTTCTGTCTCATAATTATAAATATGGGCACATAACAACCGGACCAAAAATAATCATCTCCCTGGCTGCAGGGTAAAGGCCTATGATCTGAGCTGGGGTATTTCTTAACAGAATTAGATTTATCTTCTCAAATCTTTTGGAAGTTGCAGAGATATGACCCCAGAACGACTGGTGGCCATGTCCTCTGCCGTGTTCTAAGTCTCTCATCTCTACATATTCTTAATTTTCCCTGGCTGCAGGGTAAAGGCCTATGATCTGAGCTGGGGTATTTCTTAACAGAATTAGATTTATCTTCTCAAATCTTTTGGAAGTTGCAGAGATATGACCCCAGAACAACTGGTGGCCATGTCCTCTGCCATGTTCTAAGTCTCTCATCTCTACATATTCTTGAGAGAATGCTATGGAAATAAATTAAGAATATGTAGAGATGAGAGACTTAGAACTTCACAGCATCATCAAGCCCTGTTTTATTTCCTAAGGGGCCCAGACTGGCTGTAGACCCAGAATACCTTTCTTGAATTCTCCAAACTACCTCGTTTCCTTGCTAGGAATGCTACCTCATGCCACACAAAGCAACTGCACATGGATGGTACAGTTAAATGTCAGTGGCATGTTATTTAAAATCTCTAAACTGGATTGATACGATGTATGATAGCCAACAGACATATGTGGTTACCAGCACTTGAAATGTGGCTAGTCCCAGTTGGGATGTTCTGTAATTATAAAATATCCACTGGAATTTAAAACTTTATTAAAAAAAAAAAATTTATCTGCTTCTTAATTTTATTTTTTATATTAATTCCATCTGTTTTCTTCTATTTTGTAATGTGGCTACTTAAAAATTAAAATTATATATGTGGTTCAACACTGTGGCTCTAATGGACTGTGCTGGTCCAGAAGAAAACACAGAATATATTTCTCAACTTGGTGTAAGCAGGGATTTCTTAAAAGAGACACACAAAGTACTAACCTAAAAAAAAAAAAAAAAAAAAAAAAAGATACATTAAAATACATCTAAACTAAGAATTTCAGTTCATCAAAAGACATGATCAAGAGATTGTAAAAGCAAACCATAAAATAGGAGAAGACATTTGTAACTGGTAAAGATCTCATATCCAGAATGAATAATAAGTTCCTACAAATCAAGAGGAAAAAGACAGATAGCCCAAGAGAAAATGGGCAAGAAATTTGAACAGACACTTGAGAAAATAGAGAATACGTTTGTGAAAAACTGCTCGACAGTATTAGCCATTAGGGCAATTAAAACTAAAACCACAGTGTGATATTAATTCTCAGCATCACGGTGTCTCACTTAAGAAAGACTGATGATACCAGTGACGGTAAGAACGTGGAGCGACTAGAACTCCTGTATTCCGCTGCTGAGCGTAAATCGTTGCATCGTTATTCAAAAGTGTTTTGTAGTGTCTACTAAGCTGAACATACACCTACCCTTTGACTAATACATCTCACTCCTAGCAATATGCCCAATAAAAACGAAGGACATCCCCGTACCAAAAGACACAGATGAGAATATTCATAGTCGCTTAATTTATAATAGTCAATAGTAAAAAGAGTGCAAATGTCCATAAACAGTAGAATGGATACATGTTTCGCTGTATGTAATACGTGTATAATATGGATGACTCTCACCTGACATTAGAAAACAGATGCAAAAACATACATATGGTATGATTCAATTTACATAAAGTTTAAAAACAAGCAAAAGAACTCTGTGGAATGAGAACTCTGATAGTAATCTTTGGGAATAAATGGATTCTAGTGATTGACGGGGAAACAGGCAGTTCTAGGGTCACGGTCACGTGCTATTTTACAACCTGGGCAGTAACTACCTCAGTGTTTTAGCTTTATGATAATTCCCTGTGCTGTACACTTACATCTTTCTACTTTTCTGCATTTATGTAAACCTTAATTTGTTAAAAGCAAGCATTTCAATTGAAAATTTCTATCCTCTCAAAAAGAGAGAGACCAAACAGACAAATAAGCAAAGCTTTAGAAAATTTAGAGTGCGATGAACTTAGGACAGTAGTGCTATAGAGAAATTCCTATCCACCAAATAGAAAATATCAGTAATTTTAAAGCACATATAAAGAATTGACAAAAACACCATGTCTAACACACGAGAAACCCCAAGAAGTTCCAAAGAATTAACATGCAAACTATATATTCTTATCATAACGCAATAAAATTAGAAATTAATAATAATTTTAAAACTAAAAAAACTTATATGTTTGAAAATTAAAAAACATACTATCAACTTATCTTTTGATTAAAAAAGAAACATGAGAAAAATATTCACAAAATATTTAAAACTGAATAATA